CTAATCCTAACCCCTTAACCTAACCCTAAACCTAAACCTAACCCTAAACCTAACCCTAACCCTTAACCTAACCCTAAACCTAACCCTAACCCTTAACCTAACCCTTAACCTAACCCTAACCCTAACCCTAACCCTAAACCTAACCTAAACCTAAACCTAACCCTTACCTTAACTTGAATCGGCTTGCTTTCAAAGCGCTATTTAAAGCGCCCTTCTTTCTCCGCGCTCGCTGTTGTCGCCCTGTTGATGACGTCAGCGACGCGGTTTAATCGGGCGCGGCTTAGTCGAGCGCGGTTTTGTCGTGCCACAAGTCACTCAGCCCAGACCTCACAAGTTGGTTATTGTGAGTAAAATAGGAGGAGGAAGAATTAAGTATATTAGCCACTTTTGAGTTGAAATAAAAAAGGTGGGATGAAGATGAAGAAGTTGGTTGCTTGCTAGTACTGATGGGAGTGGACAATTCCAGGGAATGAACATTTGAATGTTGCCAGTATTCTGGGCCAGAAGAGCATCGCGTTCATGGCCGAGCAGGAAATTGGACCTTCAACTCTTCTTTTTCATCTTCCAGGAAAAGTGCTCCAAAGAAGCCCAAAGCAGATGGGCAGTGAAGGGAGTCACCAGCTGTCCCCTCTTCCTGCCTGCTCCACGCCTCTGCCTGAACTCCCCCAGCCAGCCAGTCACCCCGTGTATGGAGGAAGATGGAACTGCCGAAAGCACATTTCATACACCCTGGGCTGAACTGGTGGGGTGGGGTGGGGGGGTAGGGAGAAGAGACGCTGAGGCTCATGTGAGGGAGCCCCAAGCAGGGCCATCACTGTGCCATACCCCACCTAGGAAGGGGGGGGGAAGAAGGAATGGAATTCCTCTCTCGCCCTCTGCTTACTGCCCCGATAACATGGACATTTGATGTTTGGGGTGGGCTTGAGGGAAAACTTGTTATGGGGGGGGAGGAGGGGCTGTTGGTTTTTTTTACAAGTTGCAGTTACAGGAATGAAGTTCTTTTGTATTCCCCTAAATCCTGTGTGTTGGGGGGTGGGAGACTTGATCTCCCGGCCTCCAGTTCTTGCCTCTGTACAGACCCTCTTCCTGAGTTTAGTTTTTAGTGTCTGCGTTTGGTAACGGAGAGAAATCCCTGCTAGTGGGGATTGAGAAGGTGTGACATGGTATGGTTGGCCACAGATGCAGCTACTTTGAACATTGGAGGGAAGGGGGCTCGTGCTACAGCAGCTGTTCTAATGCTCAGCGCAGGGTGTTCGTGGCTTGAATCCACCCCCTTTTCCCCCCCCCCTGTACATGGAACAGCCCCTCCTTAGCAGCACAAGCCGGGTTTGTTTTCTCTCTTTGCTCTTCCTGCCTCTAGGCCACAAGGTGGCATGCTCTGGGCAGATGTCTTGCCATTCCTCTCCGTTGTTTTGTATAAAACTTTTTTTAGGAAAATAAAAAATGATTTGAGAGGGAGAATGTAGCTGATCCACCAGAGGCTTTTGGGTCAGAGCAAGGCTGGAGGGCGATATTCTTGATGGTTGACACATACAACTCTCCAACACTGTACGGGGTAGGAGTTTAGGTTTCTCTCTCTAGAGAAATACATGCCACCTCCCCTCTTTCCCCCCCACTGGTTGTCTTGGGACCTTCCACATAGGGGAAAGCAACAGGGCTTACTCTCTAGAGTTGGGGGAGCTCTATGGAATACAGAAGAAATGCCTCCCCCCCCCACGCGCACTGTTTGCTGTGTTGAGATTGGTAGGCAAACTAGCCCTCAGAAAATACCCCCACGAGCAAACCTCTCCCTTGCTCTGTGCCCTGGTCTTTTGTATTATAGTATATTTCGCTGTCTCCCATTTTCCTGTTCAGTCCTTAAGATTCCTTCTGTCCTTCTTATATTTGACCCGATTTATTTTCCACTGAGACAGGAACAGCCCTCATAGGAGTTTACCCTGGCTATCCACCCTGAATTTCCCTTCCCCCCCCTAGTGCTGCGTATCTGTCGTTTTTGTGCTATTTTGAACAATTAAAGACTTTTTTTGGAAACAAGACTTGCTGTTTGGAAAAAGAGCTCTTTCCCTCACTTCTCCCTTCAAAGTGTTTGCCTTTTCTCTTTATGAAAGGACTAGACGATACCCGTTTTCTGTCACCGGAAAGTATCAGGTTGAGCTTTATTTCCATATGTTTGGATGAAGACCATCCCACCTCCAATCTAGGTCCTTCAATTATAAGACCGCTCTCTTCCAGAAGGCCACAAATCTCATCATGGAATCCAGCCACCAAAATGGCAGGCTGCAAGGTTTGGCAGACTTGTTGCTGCACTATGGGGTACTTCCTGTTCTTTGCATCATTTCCAAGATCTGCAGTGAAAAATAAATCTTCCCATCTGCATTTGGGCTCATCAGCAGCCACACCTTTGCCGGTGTGTTCCTTCTGGCGGCTTGGTCTCTAGGTGAACAGAGTTGAGCTGTGGCTCTTCAGGTACCCTGCGCTGAAATGAAACATGGTGAGGAGCACAAGTGAGAAAAGAGGTCTTGTTTCTTGTCATAAAGAATGTAATCTTAAGAGCATCGGTAATACCTGCTGTGGCTGGAAGCAACATATTATTTAATAGTATTTTTTTTTCAGCCTAAAGAAGCATTCTTAACTGCATTTAGCTGTTTCACATTAATTGTGCTAGCATATTTTGATGGCACGCTGTTGGGCTATCCAGGAGTTATAAAAAGGAATAGCCATGCTTTAAAGCTTTTAAAATTGGAAATGGGGGGAATGCATTCCTTACGTTCTTCAGTACGGCCCGTATGGCCCACTCGAACACCTCCTGCACGTTGGCAGCTGTCTTGGCACTGACTTCAAAGTAGGTGGCATCATGAAGCCTGCTCCACATTTCGGCTTCCTCTGAAGAAACCTGCTTAAAGACAGGATACCTTCACACTTTGCCCTCCTCCAAGTCCTGTCTGCAACCCTAAACTAAAAATAGAACCTACAAATGTAAAAGCTCTCCCGTGGGTTCTATTTCTGCATCCTATCCCATCAAAAGCTATCCAGATTCTTCAAGGCTCTGTCTGCTCCTAATCTTTAAAATACCCCTTCATTCTTAAGTTGGGTGCTACACGAGCTCTTGCACAATAGCTGCAACCCAGTGGTGGGTTTCAGATTCTGTTCCAACCGGTACGGTTGAAACAGCCCAGGAGTTACCCACATGCGCGCAGTGCATGTACACACGTGTGCAGTGCGCACATGTGTTCTAGCATCAAATAACGCGTCCGCAAGCCTCTGTGATGCTCCAGCTGCTCCGTGGAGCATCGTGCAGGCACCGTACGCACCATGCGCGGAAGAGGCAAATGCATAAAATGGCCAAGGAGCGCAGGTGGGCTCTCCGGAGCACTGTACCAGAACGGTACCCGGTACTCCGGGCAGGATCCGGTACACCCGTACTGGGGCGTACCGCCTGCAACCCACCACTGTTTCAACCTATCCTCTCGGGTGTGTTCAGTATGTACCTCACGGTTCTCCAGGTCAGTCTTGTTTCCAATGATGGCAATGGGAAAAGTGGGTTCTTCCTCTGGCTCAATCTGCAGCAAGAGCTGCTTGTGCCACTTCTCAAGGGCTTGAAAAGAATAGACAGATGTGACATCAAAGACGAGCAGGCAGCAGTCGGATCCCCGATACAGGGCCGTCCCCAGAGCATGGAACCTCTCTGTACCAGCTGTATCCCAGATCTTGAGGCAGGGATAAAGAGAGAGAGAGAGAGAGAGAGATCAGATTGCTCAAATACTGAGGAATTTGCGTGGGCAAGATGAGAAAGTGCATCATTACAGGATTATCTAAATTTTCTTTGCCATGAATATTTTAGTGCAGAATGAATTTTTTTTTTTTTGGAAAGGCCCCATAAACCCTGGTCAAGCTAAACCAGGGCTATCAAACTCGTGGCCCCCAGGATGCTGGATGCATTGCTCTGATCATGACTACACCCGTTTAGTGACGGGAGGAAAAGTTGTGATACACCACGTGACGCCACGAGTTTGACACCCTTAAGCTAGGCCTCAAAACAATTAGCTGATGATATATTTAGTTTAGGAATGTTACACCTTTTTCGAGTGCTCAAGCTTTCTTTATATTTTTAAAAATGAGTGAAATGTTAGCTTGTGGTTCCAAGCTTTGATATTTAGTGATAAAATCTGACATGTGACAATTGTTAATGTCAGCTCAGATGATGGTTACAACACATGTAATGGAAGCTTTGCTTGAACTGCTTCCTTTGCTTTGACAGCTGTAAAGCCCTTGGTGTAAACTATAAGTAGACCCATTTTCCAAGGTGGTATATCATAACTTCCATGTGCCACAGCCAGCATAGCTAGTTTAGATACTAAAGCTGAAGTTTCCAAGAATTGGGATTGTCGCTTATTTGAGATTGCCATTCTGTATAGCTGTAAAAATAAGAAAATGGAGGAGGCATGAAGCAAGTAGATTAACTATTATTTCTATATCTACAGTATACATCTAGCAGCTGAAGAATATTTCTAATGGCAAAACAATGCTATAGGGAGGACCCTTTTGTATATTAGAGGTATCTGATAAAATATGGATGTCTGTTCTGATAATTTACATGCCTGTTCTGATAGTCAAGAGTCATATGTGTACAACACATTTTCTTTTTGCCCTACAAGTTGAGACAAGTGGAATCTTTCCACAAAAATATTTAACGTGGAGCTTCCCAGTTCACAAAACAACAAAAAAGTTGAGCTTTAACCTTTAAATATTCTGCCATCCGCAGTTCAACAGGGATTATGGTGAGCAGACATCCATATTTTATCAGATACTTCTAATATACAAAAGGGTCCTCCCTATAGCATTGTTTTGCCATTAGAAATATTCTTCAGCTGCTAGATGTACTGTAGATATAGAAATAATAGTTAATCTACTTGCTTCATGCCTCCTCCATTTTCTTATTTTTACAGCTATACAGTATGGCAATCCCAATTCTTGGAAACTTCAGCTTTAGTATCTAAACTAGCTTAGCTGGCTATGCTGGCTGTGGCAC